ACAAGTACTAGGTGTCTTTATGATTGTGTAGCCTACTAGTATAGCTGTCATGAGTGTGTACTACTAATAGTATAATATACTCTGCGCTGCATGCACTGCGCGTATAAGAAATTAAATTTTAAAAAACGCAAAATAATCGTAATCGGTAATCTAAACGATTGTTCGATCGTTAGAGTTATCAAACGAGTACTCGATTATTCGGTATAATCGTTTCAGCCCTATATAAAAGCCGCGGCTTATATGACTTTTTGGGGGTAATTTTGCAGGCTTCTATATGAGCCAGGCTTTCTATACAAGACAGGTATTTTTATGTATGTCAACACTAAGACCAGGCTTAATGTCAACACTAAAACCAGGCTTAATGTCAACACTAAAACCAGGCTTATATGCCGGCAGTGTATCTTGAAAACCAGGCTTCTATTCAAAACAGGCTTCTACATGAGACAGGCTTGAATACAAGACACTACGGTACTTGTAATAACAAGATCGAAACAGTTAGCTGTCCGGAGATTGAGTAGTTTCCCAAGTACCGTATTTTCCGGAGTATGAGCCGCACCCCCCCCCCCCCCATTTTTTGCCACGAAATACAAACATCCTACCCTATAGTATTTACCACCGTTAATTTGATCATCGTAGTCTATTAAAGCCGCACCCCTTTGTTGGGTGAATTTTGAGTGTTCAAAGTGCGACTTGTACGCCGGAAAATGCGGTATGTATTGTTACTATAGCCCATTCTCTTTGTGCATGTAATGGTTTGAGTCACCAGCTTCTTCTCCGTCCGATCACCTGTCCTGTTATGTCCAGGTTGGATTTGACTTCCTCAACCGCGAGCTGCTCTGGCATACGTTTGGTGTAAGCTGTGCTTGCAGGACTTAGCTACAGTCGGGTTCGGGTTAGGGGTTTCCAGATTATCTTTTTGGGTAATGGGGTATTTTTTGGATCTTTTGGATTTTTTGAATTTTGGCCAATTCTACCCTTTTTAGGTGTTTTGGAAATCTGGATACCAGAGCATCCGTCACCTTCTTGTTTTTGGCAATGACAGCGAGGAATTCGTAAACTACATACTAGTACATAGCAGAGTTCAGTGCCACTGCAAGAAAGACGAGGTCTTGCATGTGCATACCTTACTAGCCGGTACATGTACAATCATGTAAATTGTAAGACGGGTTGTGCTACTCTGAGCATCTTCATACACAGTTTCAACACACTAGTAAGTAAGCGAACGACAATGCAGAGCGATGAAGGAAACTGGTGCTTCACCGACATGAAGCAAGCTAACATTTTGTAACTGTATTTGACTAAAAAAAAAAGGAAAAAAGTACCGTATTTTCCGGAGTATAGTGCGCACTTTAGATGTGCTATTTTAGGCCCTAAATCGCAGGTGCGCACTATGCTCCGAATATGAAATGCATGTACTTCAATGAAGATTGAAGTGCGCATCCCCAATGAAGATTGGGGGTGCGCGTTATACAAAGGTGCGCACTATACTCCGAAAAATACGGTAACTTATCGTGTCCGTTCCCAAAGGGAACTACTCACACCGGCCGCGAACACCCAGTAAACCCACTCAAACATGCAAGAACACCCAGTAAACCCACTCAAACATGCAAGAACACCCAGTAAACCCACTCAAATATGCAAGAACACCCAGTAAACCCACTCAAACATGCAAGAACACCCAGTAAACCCACTCAAACATGCAAGAACACCCAGTAAACCCACTCAAACATGCAAGAACACCCAGTAAACCCACTCAAACTCAAACATGCAAGATAATACACATCATAACCCGGCGAACCTTGAAGTTTCAACACCGGCCGGCAGGGGAACTATGTAGACAATGGATACTGAGTAGGGGTGAAAGGGGTGATCCGGGTAACCCGGGTACCCGTCTGTTTAGCTGCTGATCCGTTAGCAAACGAGTACCCGTTAGTCGTGTAGGATTGTAGGGTACAGTATTATAAGCTTGCTTGTACAGTTGTACAGTTCAGTGCACAGTTTTGAGTGTGTTTTTCCTCGTTCAATCCTGCTACACATCACGATATCCATTGTAGCTACGACTATTTTGACTGTTTGCATGTAGCGCAGTGATTGTGCACGCTGTGCTTGTCGCGGTGTAGTGTACTTGCATGACTTCGCATATCCTCCTGGCGTGAAATCCGGAAGGCTCCTGTAGCTAAATTGTTGCCCGAAAATCTCTCTCCTATCAGAATGCCTGTAAAAGACATGTTGCGCTTACGATCCCAAGCAAATGCAACGTTTTTGGAAAAAGTATGGCGGATAAAGGGTACCCGATAACCCGCCCGTTAAGCCAGATACCCGTTTGTTACCTTAAAGGGTAACCGTTTCACCCCTAATACTGAGAGATATGCCAGCATGATTCCGACAGTGCAAAACACAAAGGATTATAGTATGGAATGAATTTTAAGTATAACTCAGTGACACAACTGAAGAATTAATTTTAACTTAATACGGTCACGGTGAAGCACAACAGTCACCCATGGCTACTTGAATTATAACGATGCTACTGCCGCTCGGTGGCACCAGGCCGGCGGAAGTCGCAGTGTGGTGACAACTCCAGTAACGCGAGGCTCACTTCTTGCCGTGGTTGTGCTGCAACACCAAGGATGTTTCAATGTAATCCTCTAGAGCTCTTTCCTGCTGAGTATCGAAGGAACTCTCCAGGAGGCTGAACGTGCGCTCTGCAGCTGCTGAGCTGGGCTGTACCAACAGCAGTCGCCGAAAGGTGTGAGCCCAGGCCTTGTGGTCCCTGGCATTGGCTTTCCGCCAGGTGATTGGCTCGACACTCTCATGCACATCTTCGGCAGCAGCAAGGCATTGCGGCAACTCCTCCTTCATATCTCCAATCTCGGCCTGTGTGATGAAAGGAAAGGATTGCAGGGCATTGACGTCTTCAGGTGCAGGCAGAGTATGCGCCACTCTCCGGGAATCGCACAGCCGTGCAGCACGGAATGCAGTGACAAGTGGATAAAGAGCACCACCTTCACCGAAACGCTGCTGGAAGTACAGCTTCGCACGTGGAATACATTCCAGTGCAAATTGCATCCATGTGTTGACTGCTCCAGGTTGGATGCCACCAAGACGTTGGGCCACAGCGTTAGTAGATTGCAGGTAGATGGGATCTGCTTCAATGAAGTGCCATAGGGAACAGATCACCTCATACGCCTGCAGACAGAGTGTCCCATTTCCCTCAAGCTTATATATCACATTAGTGAACGGACGACCAAACTCCACCGAGACTGCTAGTTGCATCTGCAGCCGACCTCGTGCTCCTGGATGGTTGCCTTGAGCCGTCTGCGTATGGTACCATGGTGTTCGCCATCGGCCTCGACACTTTGGAAGCCGACCACATCACCAAACATGTCGTGCATTCCATCTCGACCACCACCGAATTCTTCTGTGACTCCGCACAGACGCGCCGCTCAGCGTGCGGAACTCAAGTCGGGATTTGGGGCTATGCGAAAATAGCTGTATCCATGTCATGGCGAAGGCATCCAGCTCTTCAGCCTTGATGGCGCCGCCCACATGGTCCAAGGTGTGGGCGAAACAACCAACATCCATCATGCCAAGATACAGCATGCGGATGCTGAGGGTGGCCACATCATTGACGGACGCTCGGTCGCGCATTGTCGCAATGAGGAGGGATGGCTGTACTTGGTACGCAGTTGCCAGTGTGTGGATAAATGCACGCGCTATCTGCTCTCCAGTAAGCGACTTTGCAGCTAGCATGAGGCGCACCAAGTATCGGTGGATGGAGAAGTCGGCATCGACTACCCTGACAATTATGACCATGGCTTCGCACACTTTCGTGGTGCCATCAAAGATGATTGAGATACGCTTTCCAACAATGGCAGACTTGACATGATTGACCTCCCTCTCTCAGCTGCTTGGCCTTCTTGGATTAACGACAACTCATGGCGACATGCTGTGCAGTACAGCTTGCCAGAGCGGACTTCCAGGATTTCTCCAGGGAACTCAGATGTGCGATACTTGGGTCCCTTGGTCTTTGGTGCATTCTGCTGAGACGGGGGCGTGTAGGATCCCTTCTTGCTCGATCCCAAATTCTTGGCAACAGACCGCTTGATCCGAAGCTGTTGGTGGGCGCAGACGACTTAGGAGACTGAGGGCAGAAGGCTGCACAGGTGTTTCTGTTTCGATTTCATCCTCGGACTCATTCTCAGAGTTACTGCCTAGGGCAAATATGGGGTACTATTAGTATCCCATTTTCGATAGTACCCCATTTTTTGGGGCAGGGCATGTACCTGCAGCAGGACCCTCACTATGCTTACTACTCACTATCTTTCCCGGCAACAGCCGTCACTAACAGACGCTACTAAGTAGCCGCTAAGTGACAGCTTCCACTTTACGGCCTCGCGAGTGCCAAGAGAAAACACGAGCAATGACACACACACGCCGCTGTGAAGTATGGACACTGGGTAGCGCCAGACGCTACTTCTACAGTTCTACTACATTGTAGTACAGCCAACATGACAACGGTACTGTACTGCTCGTAACCTATATCGCATAGCCTGTTCTGGAATTTATTTTGTTGACAGACGACGACAAGCACTACAACTACAGTACAAAGTACTGTTCTTGAAACACCAGGTGGTGGTGCGCTGTAGAGTCCACCGTGTGCGGTGTTGGGCCGGTCTACACTAGCTGCACTGTGCCTCAGATCGCAGCGCGTGGCCGCGTGCCCGCCATTATGTTACGTCATGGTTGCCATGGCAACAGGCAGATCATTTTTTGGATCTTGGCTGTTTTGGGGAATTTTTAAAGATTTTTGGATAGTATCATTCCTCTTTGTAGCTATAGTATCATTTCTTTGGATTTGTATCTTGATTCTCAAAACGGTATCTTGTACATGTAACTCAATAATATTCAATTCTTTGCGTATAGTCTGGGAACTCTTCGTTCGGGTATAGGGGTTAGGGTTGGTTCACATATCGCCGGTACGCGCCGGGAGGGGGGGGGGGGGGTGTGTGTGCATGCGTGTGCTACTGTAGACTGTACAGGGCTGAGTGCATCTGTGCTGTGGGTTTGGAGCGGTGAGGTGCTAGCCAGGATATTGGGTTGTGATCCGATCATTGGTTACTGTGTGTTAGGTAACTGATTTTATTTCAGCTCATACATGTAGAAAACTAAACTATACTTGTTTTGCCACAGCTCCAGGAAAGCACCATTAGCTTTGCACTCCAGCATGAGACATTCGGACAAATGCCTAGTAATGTGGCTGAGCTTAATGGGCCCCACTCCATTATTCACCCCAGTGTCTGGAGATATGTGGATTTTGTAGAAAAAAAACAAAACAAAAAACTGTAATTGATTTCATCTGTTGATTCTTGATGTCCATGTCTTCAGGAGTTTCTCCTCTTCCTATTGCCGATGATAAGCGTCCACCGGCTGAAGCTGGCGCTCAGATCCTTCCTGGCTAGGTTCCCTGGCATGCAACGCCTGTTGGGAATATCAGCGTTGGTCAGTGGCTCGTCGCAGGCAGCCTCTCAGCCAATTTCGCACACGTCGCCGCCATTGGAATGCGCCGTCTGCGAGAAACTGGCCACGTGCCCGCACACCGCGGACTGCGGGCACTTCTTCTGTCACTACTGTGTTACGGTAAGGGAGTGCTGTTTGTCACGTTGTTTGTTATATTGTTTGTCACATTGTTTGTCACCTTTGTTGGTTATATTGTTTGTCACATTTTCGTCATTATTGTTTGTCACATTGTTTGTCACATTTTCGTCATTATTGTTTGTCACCTTGTTTGTCACATTGTTTGTCACCTTTGTTGGTTATATTGTTTGTCACATTGTTTGTCACATCGTTTGTCACATTGTTTGTCACCTTTGTTGGTTATATTGTTTGTCACATTTTCGTCATTATTGTTTGTCACATTGTTTGTCACCTTGCTTGTCACATTGTTTGGCACATTGTTTGTCACACTGTTTGTCACATCTGTACCATTAGTCCGTTGCACGGAAACCCATTGAAGAATACATGTACTGTTGTGGATATTGACATCCGTTGAGAAGTCAAGCAGGCGCAGGGCGCTGGCCTTGCAGCGGTGAGCACTGCTGGTCCGTTGTTGCAGCGTGTACGTGAACTACAGTGCATGTACGCGCTGCCGGCGCCCCGGTCATCACATCGGATTTCAATGTCCACAGCAGTGGCAGCACAGTGAAATTTCACTATAGACTACAGTCAGACCTCGCTTATCCGCACACATCCGTTTCCCACAAAAAAATATCCGGATAGGCGAGGGAACCGGATAGTCGAGCACACATACTGTATGTATGCACGTCATATGCTGTAAATCTGTGACCAGCGATTTTCTTCCGGATGGCGAGATATCCGGATAAAAGAGGACCGGATAAGCGAGGTCTGACTGTATGGTGTTCCTCCAAGGGGCATACACATCTGTACTTTAAAGCCGACGGACTGTGTACCTAAGACCCAGTGATTGGTGTAGCATAATGCGGAGTAAAAAAATTTAAAAAAATTAGAAAATTCGACGGGTTCGCGTACCGGGCAGGTCAAGAACAAGGAGTCGTACAACTCCCTGGTCAAGAACCACCTTTCCGCTTCCGTGGGACGCCACCACCCCATGATCAGGCGTCAGATGCGGCTCCTAAACGGTGGGGGAGGATAGGTCAGATCCACCAACCATGCGGAGTCCTAAACCAATAATCACATTCCGGTACCACAGTACTGTACGCTTTGTCCAACGTACTTTATACTGAGGTTTTGCTGTATAACTGCAATGTACAATGTACAATGTAGTGCAGGGCGCGAAATAACGGTCGGACATCGGACAATTTCCGACCGTTTACGGTCAGTTTCCGGATGTTTTGTACATATCCGGACAAAGTGTCCGCGCACCTTTTTGCAAAGCACAAAAAAGAAAAGGCACTTCAATCTTTTGTCTCATAGTCATTAGTGATGTCGTCTGGCAAGAGAAAGCCAAGCACCTCTGATGCGGGTGCTCCTCTTGGAAAGAAGCCCAGAGGAGTCAAGACGACCACTTGTGACAACTGGGTCGCCGAGTATGATAGGGAGCTTTCAACTACTTCTGTTTGGCTGAGCTATGAGCGCAGTCCCTCAGATCGTAGCGTTGTCGAAAATTTGAAGTGTAAGATGTGTTCCCGTTTTGTTGATAAAATTCGCAGCAGCAAGAATTTTTCTGACTCCTTCGTCGTTGGCTCAAGGAACCTGAAAACGTCAGCCTTCAAAGATCATGCTGCTTCTGAAATGCATCGTCGTGATAACATTTCGATGGTATTAATTCTACACTGAACATTGTGTGATTTGATGTGAAAGTTGCATGTCCGGACATGTCCGGCCATTTTTGCAACTGGCAGGACATTGTGTCAGAGCATATTTTAATCCTTAGCGCATGCCCTGTAGTGCAAACGCTTTGCCAGTGCCAGTGTGTGCTTGTGTACACAAGTGTCTGTGATAAGTCACTGATACAAGTACAGTGGTCCCTCTATAATCCGGCACCATTTGTGCCACGGAAATCTGCTGGATTAGGGAGGGTGCTGGATTAACAAATCTGATCCACTGCTGCAATGTGCATGAAGAGGACATTTGGCTACTGAAAATTGTGCTGGTTTATCGAGGGTGCTGGATTATAAAGTGCCGGATTAGAGAGGGACGACTGTACCACTTAGGGAAGTTAGGATGCATATAGTTTGAATTTCACCGGAAACTCTGGAGAGAGGTATAATTCCAGCATCACTTTTTTGTTTGAGATCGTCCCTGTGTTTCTGCTTTCGTTCTTGTGTGCTCCAGGCCAATGTCCAGGCAGATGAGTTCTTCTCCTGTCCGCAGTGCAACTGTCAGATCAGATCTGTGCGGCCAGTCGCCGTTGACAAGCCTCCATCGTGACCGGACGGTTTAGTGTAGAAAGGAATTCCAGGACTGTGACCATGCTGCATGGCTGATCAAGTAGAAAGGCAATGGTGTCGCTCGGTCTACATGTGAGCGAGCTTGACCGTCTACCATCCAGTGGTCAACCGTGCTCGGCTTTCCTGGCTCGATGTCCGATGATAATTATCCCTCCAACTGCGTGTGATTGAGCTAAACTATCTTCTAACCAGCGTTCAATCCCGTTCGGCTTTCCTGTCTCGATGTCCGATGATGTCTATCCGACTATGTACGGGCTAAACCGTCCAAGATCCAGCAGCCAATCCTGCTTCGCCTTCCCGGCACTCATCGTTATAGTTGTGAGGCAGGTGTTACGATGACAGGGACATGAAAAGATCCGTTTGCCTGCAGTGACGTGCATGGTATCGAACGCCACCGCGGGAAGCCGAGCGTCGGTGAGCAGTGTGGATGTGTCAGTTCTGCTCCGTGCGTGAGGTCCAGAACGTGCCAGTAGTCGGAACATCGCGGCGATCCGAGCGACCTCTGCCGTTCCCCTGCGACGAGCAGGCCTCCCTCTTGCCTTCGCATTTGCACTTGTCCCCTGTGGCGTACTGGCTGGCAACCTCTTTGGCCTGTGGAGCGCGCTGGTCTGAACACGTGGTGTGTGTGTGTGTTGCAGCACTCCTGTACACGCTTCTTGTACTGCTGGGCATTGATGATTGGGTCAGGCAGCAATGATGTCACCACACCAGCAATGATGGCACCACACCAGAAATGATGTCACCATACCAGCAATGATGTCACCACATTGTAGGCTCCTGCAAGTGCTGAGGTCAGGAACTCAATGCACTTGTTTCAGCTGCTTCTGGCAGCCATTTCAGTCTTCTAGCAAAACGTCGGAATGCAGCAACTCAACGTCTTTCACATCGTGTGCTCGTTTCCTTTACTGAATGTTGGCCCGAGCGTGGTATGCATCCAAATCCTGCTGGCAGCGCAGCTGTGTAAACATATGCACACAGGTGCTCGTGGACAGTAGAAACTGGGGACACAAGATTGACAGAACTGCATCATTCAGCATGACCTGACACTGAGCTTGCCTGCGTGTGGTTGATCCGATATCAACGTGCTATGATGAACATACTTGGACTAAATTGCATGTAAGTTACTTGCGCGTATCTCCGTCACACTCCATCGCATCCATCTTACGCTCTCGGCTAGCTTTCATGCCTAGCAGCCATCACCACCACCATTATTATTATTTATCACAGCATCTCATAGCACAGTGAGAACACCGGCCAATGCAAAGAGAGAGGGTGTTAGCCAACCACGGCAAGGAAGGGAGAAGGGGAGGAGAAGAAAAAGGAACCGGCATGGATAAGCATAACAAGGCCAGTTCTGTTGACTACACTGTTAGCGTAGCAATGGTGGAGAGTTGTGTTGCGTTGCTGCCTCCCTGTGCACATGTTGCAGCGGCGTCGCACACGCTACGGTCACTACGGTATTGACCGTACCACTCTTTGTCCCAGCTACCCGGGAATCAATAAAATGAGCTGGTCTGGACTCAAAATTTCCCGAAATGTTCAGCTCAGGCACCCTTCCCCCCACGAGTAAATTGCACTTCAGATGGCTGACCGTGCCACACTGAAATACCGTCCGAGACCCGATGTGCTGTCATGCTTGCATCACTGTGATAGACATTCCCCAGCTGAGCCATTCCGCTTGCGTCCACTTTGAAAGCCTTTCAGTATCATATCGTGCTTTTTCTCATGCCTTTTTCCTGAAAATATGAATTTTTGTAGGACTACATGGCCTTGAGTTTTGTTTTTGACTTTTTGGTGTACGAGAAGACCACTGACTTGGCCCATGTCAAGTTGGTTACCCTTGTTTCAGTCAAGTTAGGTGCCGTTCGGATGGTTTCGACTCGCCTGTCTTTGATAGGCAAGGGAGCACACATGTTGCTGTGACCAAGATTATGCAACAATGCAAGGCGTTGGACTGGGCAGGTTTGATGCACTCTTGCAGTGGTGTAGATTACAGTGGTGTAGATTACCTTGCAATGCGCTCTACAATGTACTACAAAGTCTACAATACTGTCAGGGGTCTCTCTCTCTCT